ATATGGGCTGCCGTCAATAGAAATCAGGCAGATTGACATTTTAAAAAAAATCCATACCTCAACTTTCACAGCTCATACCTCGATGAATTTTGAAGCTATCTTGATGATTCAATATTCAAAAGAAAGCTTAGAACTTAACATTTCTTTCGAATATTAAATTATCAAACTAGCTTCAAAATTCATCGAGATATTAGCTGTAAAAGTTGAGGTATTGATTTTTTTTAAAATGTCAATCTGCCTGATTTCTATTGACGGCAGCCCATATGTCCAAACCAAACAAATTATTGGACATGGACAGTCCATGGATCCTATTTTTATATGTCCATGGGCATGGGCGTCCATGCCCATGGACATGTCATTGACAACACTGGATATAATGACCAAGGTATAATGGCAGATATTCGAAAAACTGAATAATATATATATTGAATGCGAAGTAGCCAATAATGATAATGATTTCTGATTTTAATAGAGATTTTTTTAAGTCTTCAACAAGCGACCATTATTTCAACGAGAGATTATTTGGAATTATCAAAACTAGACATTTATACTGCCTATTTAAATATTAATACGAATATAAAAGTCAATCTCGAATTCACTTGTGAATTTTTCTAAAACAACTTTCTAGTATTTTCTGACTGTAATAAGTATGGTCTATATAATTTGATATCCCGACTGTAGTTGAAAATGAACCATAGTTTCGGGCCGAATTATGTTGATCATGGACCAAGAATCTTAATTCTGGCTGAATTAAAGATTAACGTTAACACGATTAAATGGTTAAATGATTAAAAGAATTTTTAGACGCCTAATTGTAGTACTGTATTAGAACACAATAAATCGTAATACTGTAGTAAGAACTAAAAATAAATAATCTAGCATATAAAATGGAAGATTTTGGTTATTATTTGAATAATAAAAACAAAATTGAAAATGGTATTGTTTAGGCAATAATAATTGTTAATAAAGCTGTTTTAGTTTGCATTTAGGAACTTACTTCAGATGTTGAATAGCTACTTTAGGTACGACATTTTTTTACACGCACTTATAAACCTATCCAAACAATTTTCAAGATTGGCTGTATTAAATAAACGTGAATCTTTTCTTTAATTGCACTTAATGTTCTATAAAACTGTTATAAAATTTCACCATAAAAATATGCCGTATTTCTGCGACATGTGTACCCGGGGTATTCCGTCATGTACCCGGGTACTCGTATGGAGGGATATATCGTATAAATACTTCTATGTTTTAATATGTTTTACTATTACATGCCCGGGTATATAAGTATGTTACCTCATACTTATATACCCGGGTATAAATCAAGATTTGACATCCAAAATCGCCACAGGGTACGGGTACAGCCCACAGGGGAGTACATGTCACAGAAATACGGTATCTAATCCTAAACTCTAATATTGACCCACCCTAATCTTTAAACGCATTTTTTCGAGTTTAATAAACTCACGATTCAATGTACCATATAGGCGCGTAATAACGCACATGGGCGTTATTCGAAAATTCCATTTTTTTTTGAAAATCGCATATTTGATTCAAAATAATACCCATGCGCGTCCCGAAATAACGCGTCCCATATACATAATCTCAGGAAAGTTTTTAGTAGTTGTAAATCTTTTCTTCAAAGTTAGGATAATGATTCGAAGTATCGTGCATGTGCGTTCTGAAATAACGCGCAGATGCGCGTTATTACGCGCCTATACGGGATGATACAATAAATTACATATCGATATAAATTTAAAATGTCTTGTTTGTTTTTTTATTACAAATTAATCAATATAAATCTAATATAATTTAGTCCAAAAAATAATATTAAAAATACAAAATAAAATAAGATCATTTAATAAAAATTTTTTTAATTAAAATATTACAGTACATCACTTTTTTGCAAATATTCTTTTTTTGTCGGCATTTTACTAATAGATTAAGGGAAATTAAATCGTATACAGTATAGTTACCTATAAGAATTGAATTAAAATGATTGTTTTTTTGTTTTTTTATACTTTTGATAATCAGTTTTTATGCCAAAGTTTGAAAGTTCATTATATTATCCCTGTGTGATATAAAATCAAGTTATAATAAATTTATCTTTACAGAGAAGAATATACATGTATATTCCAATATTTACAGTAGAATAATTGTTATGATCTAACAATTTTTGAATGGGTTTCTTTAGTAAAGTAGAATAATTGTTATGATCTAACAATTTTTGAATGGGTTTCTTTAGTAAATTCATTTTTTTAATGTTTTCCAGAACTGTTATTGTGCCCATGAATACTATTAGCTGTCAAAGTAGTAATATCAGACAAAGAATTAAATGAATGTCCCCTGCTAATCTGACTTGGTCCACTTCGTATCAGATCCGAGGCATGTATCAGATCCGGTGCATGATTGCAAAAATTATAAGTTTTCTTGCTTTTAAAAGAAAAGCCGTCATGAGAGCCACTATATTGTATTTTACTTATTGGTATTGGACTATTGCATGGTGAACTCATGGAATTATTTGCTTTAATATTGGTATTTTCCGCAACATGAGTACTAAATAAAGAATTTTAATTAGCGAGAAATTAATGAAGGAATATCGGAAAAAAGAAAGAACTTACTTGTATATTATAACCCATTGAGCTACATGAATGAAGAAGAGAATAAAATAATTCCAAATTATAAGGTATGTGATATTAATACCATAAATGAATATGGTACGAGTTCTTTGCAAAACTCCATAAAACAAAAAAGCTAGCAAATAAATACAGGCAAATATGATTGCAATCATGCACAACCTATCACCATTTTGTTTAAATTGATCCAATTTGATTTCCAATTCACTTTTTTGATCATTTACTATTGTCAAGCCCGCCATACTATTCAGGATAGCAGTAAAACGAGACCAAAATGTAACCATGACTAATACATAAAATAATCCAAATATCAACCATCCTAGGTAATGAATCATAAAGAGCTTGTTTGCAGTCTTTATATCACCAATGTCAACATAATACCCAGTAAGACCAGCAATGGGTAGAAATATCAAGATGGGTAATAAAACGAAAAATATACAAGTGATATCTTTACGTAAGGCATGACGAGAAGTTGGAACATCAGGTATTAATTTCAGTTCAAAGGCACATGTTGAATATAATATACTTAATGGATATAGAAAAGAAAATGATACAATTAGAGTCCTTGGTAATACCTGACCAACTTTAAAAAAAAAATTTATGTTAAACATATGAAAGATGAGATAATAATTAACAAAGATAGTATTTAAAATATTTACTTTCAGCCATTAAAACGTTGGGATAAAGATCATAAAGCAAACATAATGAATGAATTATTTGAACTGTATATATAATGATCAAGTCGATTAGCTTCTAAAAAATTTCATTATTTAGGAATTTGGAAATTCTACATACATGGACAATAAGCTAATGCTATTGCATAGTATATGTGTAATGGCCTTGGTCTTATGACACCACGATCACTTCGTGGACTGAAAAAAAACGGTTCATTTTTGATGCATATTAAATGATAGAGACACACAATAGAGGTTATGCTTAACAATAAACAGTAAGGAATTATGACCTAAAAAAAAAAAAAAAAGGAGACTATTCAAAATAGGTAACCGAAAATTATAATGGAAAATAACAAAGAAAATACCCAATACGAGATTTCAAGAACACTCGATTCAGGACATCCATATATGTTTATTCGAAAATCACATGCACATGAGGAAATGTCCCATATAAAATGATTTATGACAGCACCACCTTTACATACAAGGGTATAATTGTTTATAAGTTGTACCATTATATGATATTTGCGATGAAAACTGTGAACGACGAAAGGACTTTATTATTATTTTGGCATGTTGTAAAAAGAACATGAAAATTAAGCATTCATCAATATAAACGATATCTACATGCATGAAATTATTACTCAATTAGTATATAAATGCACGTATATGTGTACATATGTACGTACGTAGCGATTAATGTAGCATACACTTATTTATCATCCCTACGTGCATACCTTCCAAACACAATTTCATTGTGCTGTACTGTACGAAAGTGAATAGATGCATATGTGCTGGCAAAACCCGGACAAATCCCAAATTCCAAAAAAAAACAAATTGCTTAAAAAAAAATAATAATTTGTAAATATATATATATATTATATATAGCTACGTATAAAAATATATGCCATTTGTTCGAAGATTATTAATAAATATTAGTTTGTGCTTGAGTTTGGAATACAAACCCAAACTATAATAGTTTGGAATTTGGGCGGCAAGTATACTATGTGGCATGATACCTGAACCTGATATCAGATATTTATCTGTTATCAGTTATGTACGTACATGCGTACGTACGTACTGTACGTATTTTAAATAGTCTTCGACACAAAACGAAAAATAATTATTAACATGTATAATGATATCATATTCAATAACTTGAGTCCCTGCTTAAACATACAGCCTAATACCACCGATTGTGCTATCCTTCTTAGATGTTGCTAGTAGCAAGGAAATGGATTTTTTTGTATTACAAGACTATGAAAAGTTACATTTTTGATGTTTATGTTATAAATATATCAACAATAGAACTTTGGTATCACTTTATCACTTTGCGTTCTCTGGACAATTAGAAAGCAAATTATAATAAATAAAAAAGTGATATACAGTATTCTATAAACCTTTCCCCAAGATATTCTCTTCCTGTAGATTTTTACAAGCTACTATAATTCTCCAGGCAAATTTGCCTAAGAAAAATTCGTGATTATTGTGAACAATATATATTATTACTGTAACAGGGTTGGCAATTTGACCAATTTGATAAGTTGGTTAAAGGGTTTAGTATTGGTCAAATTGGTCAAATGATATTTAAATATATATTATACTAGTTGCATCCTGTGCTTCATGCATGAGTAATTTTAGAGTCGCGTTAGAATTTTTATTATAATTGCATGTAAGATGAATTTTATACAAATATTTGTATAATTATATATTTACAAAAAGCAATCGCTGATAATTTTACAAATTTTATGATATATATATATAAATATATAAAATACAAATAAAATGTTTCAAAAAATGGGGCCAAAATGAAGAGATGCTTACAATTGTTTTTCGAATTTTATTAATAAAATATGTCCTTCGTTCCAAAATGCTTTTAACGGTAATATGTGATCTCTTTCTGACTGACGTCTATCATCTTAATTCATTGCTTACTTTTCAGAAATTTCCCATACTATCCTAAATTATATCACCTGCCCTGAATTAAATGCACATTATCATCCAACCAAAAATAATAATCATCAGTAAATTTTATATACAGATAAGTAACGATTACTATCAAATATTTAATAACTATCATAATTCTTACCAGTATTCTTCTATATATTAAAGTGTCCGTCAACATCAGCCAATCAGAGCCCTCTATTTCAGCGATCACTGAAATTACCAATCACATTGCGATATTTTATTAAAAATTATTCGTTGTTTTACTATAATGATGTAATTTTTCATGCTAAAATTACTTAAACCTCTTAATATTAAT